TGACAATTCTATAGAATACAAAAAAAATACATATTTTATGGAATTATCTGTTGTCCCGACTCATGGCCGAGAAAGTCTTACCTCCCTGACTCATTATGCCTCCTTTCTGCTTCATAGCCATGCCTAGTCAAAATAATCATCACATCATCACGACAATCATCATCATATAAAACTTAGTTTTGTCGACTTGCTAAATTCGCTGCGTGCCGACACCTCTGCATAAATGTTACACCAGTTACTCTGGTTTCACAGCACACAGACGCGCATATTTTATCAAGGTTTCTGTAAATAACTGTGATTTACACCAGGAGCAGAGCAACGTGTGAGGTGCGCGGGAATGGTTTTTTGCGTGCATGCGTCAGTTTGATATCACCAGCATTGTCACAGTTGCGCATAGAGAGTAACAAGCTTGCACATGCAAAAGACGCTACATGTGAATGGCCCCTATTGTCTTTATTCTGGGATTAACACTCTAAATCAATATACTTGCATAAAGTAAATGGCATCTCAAAACTTTTAATGGGGCTCGTTTTTTTTCTCCCCCCCCGTGCCACCCCCCAGCAAGATGCCGCCCTGGGCGATTGCCCATGCCTAAATCTGCCACACATAGACACAATACAGTGCAAAATACATCACATTAAGACATTTTAAAATACATTATATATATATATATATATATATATATATATATATATATTACAGCACTGTATGTCTTTAACATTGAATATGCAGTGCTGTTGAGTAACTGATTGCATGTAGATTGGATTACATAATTAGATTACAAAAAGTTAAGTATAATTATAATTATATTATAATACAAGATGTAAAATATAGACAATTTCACCCACTTGTTTACATTGTAACATTGATTTAAGCTCATTTTTCAACCCAATGGTTGAGTTTGTCTTTATTTGACTCAAACCCAGTATTTCTGCAGTTTGAAATGCTTACAATCTGAATATTATTAGCCCCTTTCACACATACAGACCTTTCCGGAAAATTACCGGCAATTTTCCGGAAAGTTTGTATGTGTGAACAGGCCCTTTTTAGGTACCGGTAATTTGCCGGAATGCTGCGTTGTGTGATTGCAGAAGGAAGATTGCCGGAAAGAGTGCGTCCACGTCTAGAACGTGGTGATGTGAGACACCTGCTTTAGCCAATCAGAACAGTCAGACGCATTCACGTGCGCGCGGTTTATGAGAATAAAAGCCTTTGAATATTTTTCCAGACACCTTTAGCTGCTAGATGTTTGTCAGATAACGTTTCTATGTTCCTTCTTAATGCCAACTGTGTAAAGAATTATCGATAAAATGTTTATGATAATCCGTTGTTTGTTTACCTTCAAGCTTTGCGTGTGCCCGTGAGCGCCAGCACACACACATATCATGAACATCTCGACATGCGAAAGTGTTCCTCTATATGTTTTCATTGGAGTTGTACTCTGTACTGATCCATCCAAAGAGTTTGTAATGTAGTCAATTGTTTACAAACACAAGCGCAGCCGTTTAGAGGTCATTTCTGGTAATGATGTCAGAATTTACCGGCATTTTGCGATGGATGTGTGAATTGCCTTTTTTTCGGAAAAATTCCGTAACGTCCTCGCCTGTGTGAACATCGCTTTTTTGAATATACCGGTAAAGTTGTTCCGGAAATTTTCCGGATATTTACCGGTATCACTGTGTGAAAGGGGCTTTTTATAGATTACATGGTTGTATATTGTTCATACAATGACTGCATATTATTTAAATTGCTAAGTTTTCCATATTATTAATTTTAAGTTTTTCTTTCTTTTAAAAATTTGTACCGTTTATTCACAACATTGAAATGACCTTGTAAATCTCATGATGGTTTTGACGTTAGGGGCAAAACAATCTTTCAATCAGGTATTTTTAATGTAATATGCTATGCAATTAATATTTATAATTAATACATTAATATTTTTATTTATTTATTTATTTATTTTTTGGTAGTAAACAACATTTGACTTAACATATTTTCTTAGAGTCACCTTCAGATCTAAAGCGAAGGTTACAAATGAACTGCATTAAATGTTATATATAAGTAGCCAAGAAGTAATCAGAATACATGACCAAAATGGGTAATCAAATAGAGTACCTACCAATTACTTCTTAATCAAAATATTCATTACCCCTATTCATACTCACTTACTACCCAAAGAAAATCAATACTTCATGTTCATCATCAATCAACACTACATAATTTGTGCACACTATCTGACAAAAAGTTTTGTCGTCAATCCCAGTTGTAAGAGCAACAAAGAATAATTTGACCTCTAGTTGATCATTTGGAAAAAGTGTCAGAAGGTAGATTTTTATGATAAATCATCTGTTGAACTGCATCCCAATCATCACAAATACTGCAGACGACCTACTGGAACCCACATGAACCCAAGATTCTCACAGAAATCAGTCAAGTTTGGTGAAGGAAAAATCATGATGTAACGCCATCTAGTATGGGGACATGCAAGAGATCGGCAGAGTGGATGGCAACATCAACAGCCTGAGGTATCAAGACATTTGTCCTGCTATTACATTACAAACTACAGGAGAGAGCAAATTCTTCAGCAGGATTACGCTCCTCCTCATAATTCAGCCTCCACATCAAAGCCCCTAAAGCAAAGAAGGTCAAGGTGCTCCTGGATTGGCCACCCCAGTAACCAGACATGAACATTATTGATCAAGTTTGGGGTAAGATGAAATAGGAGGCATTGAAGATGAATCCAAAGAATCTTGATGAACTCTGAGAGTCCTGCAAGAACACTTTCTTTGCCATTCTAGATGACTTTATTGAGAAGTTATTTGAGTCATTGCAGAGTATGTATGTATGGATGCAGTCGTCCAAGCTCATGGGAGTCACAATATTAATTATTTTCCACTGCACCATGACTTTATATTCTATACTGTACAGTATTATCTTAAGTGACAAGACTTGTGTCTAAGCAAAGTCAGACCTTACTGTCCTAATAATTAAAAATCAAGGCATGATCATATTTTATTTTGGTAAAATAAGCATCATCTAGAAGCCTATGCCTTTCATAATAGCCCCTTTTGATACCAAATTATCAACAAGAAGTCAAGTTATTATTTGTTGTTGCTAAAACCTGACTAAACTTTTCCAGGTAGTGTACACATTTTCAACAGTGTTTTTATTTGTTACATTTCCAACATGAATCAAACATTCAGAATTATGTAGACCTTGTACAGTATAAGCCTCAGAACTCCAGTGCTTATGCATTATAACTGCATGGTAGTAAAAATAAATAAATAAATAGAAATAATTAGAAATAAAATCAAAATCACTCAATCTGTTTCCAGAAAGCATTCTACATAAACAAAAAAATCTATATTGATTTGAGCACACAATGACAGAATTTACAACTTTTTGGAAAAACTAATCCTTTAAAGCAAATATGAAAAAAGTATCAAATCCAAACATTTTCACTTTCTCACTCACTTCATCTATCATTCTTGCTCTTTCTTCCCTATCCACAGTAAACTTTTACCATTCAGCTGTCTAGATACTACAGTACATTTACATCCCCATATCCACCTCTAAAAAAATGTAAATAGCAGCCTCTCTTTATCTTTACAGTTTCGGTGTGAAGCATTTCATCATACTGTATGGCACAGAGAGAATTTATGAAATTCAAATGAGAGAGAGAGAAAAAGAGGCATTCACTTGTTTGTTTGGGATATTTCCTTCTCTTTATTCAAAGAGCACTGTGTTCGGGGAGGTTTAGAGTTTCTATGATGGTCAAATTGCTGCTTTTTCATCCCATCAGCCCTCCATAAACACGCACTCCCACCATTAGCCATCAGATCTGATGACATATAATGGGAGCATCAATGAAGGAAGGTATTGTTATACCCTGCGTCCAGTAAAAAGAACATTAAATCCATTACCCGTGCAGTTAATTCAACAAGCTTTTAACCCGATGCTGATCTGGTGGTCCCCAGTCAGAGATGTCTGGATTGCGGAGAGGGTTTTATACTGATTCGCCGTGCCTTTGTTTGTGTTTGTCTGCTGGTTTAAACCTGTCTCCAGAAGCTATGAAGAAAGATTACAGGTGTTAGGTCAAGCTCTCAGCTTTAATGAAAGGTCATGGGAGGAAAGTGACAGTCGGAAGAACAGCTGACCTTTGAAACCTCGGAAAATACCACTCCAAAAACTGAGCATGCCGTCCAATCTGATGATCTACTGTGTGTACGCTGTGCTGTAAACTGTATGCAGAGTCAGCGCTGTAAAGTGTTGTTCATCTCACCCAAAAATAAATATATAATTCTGATATGATTTATTCACGCACATCATTCAAGTCCTGTAATTGGTTTTCCCCATTTGTTTATGCCTGAGCACCTACTAAAGTTCATAACTTTGTCTTGCCACCTACATAAATATGAATAAATATGAATTATACAAAGAAGAAAATAATAACTCAGAAACAGTGAGAAATTATGCATCTTACATCATAAAGTTGCATTGTTTCTAAATATTTTTTCTTTTGGAAAAAGTCTTATTTGTTTTATTTCGGCTAGAATAAAAGCTGTTTCATTTTTTTTAAACCATTTAAGGTCAAAATTATTAGTCCCTTTGAGCAATCTTTTTCGATAGTTTACAGAACAAACCATACAATAACTGGCCTAATTACCCTAACCTGCCTTGTTAATCTAATTAACCTAGTTAAGCCTTTAAATGTCTTTAAATATGAAAAATATCTACTAAAATATTATTTACTGTCATCATGGCAAAGATAAAATAAATCTGTAATTAGAAATGAGCTATTAAAACTATTATGTTTAGAAATTTATTGAAAAAAATCTTCTCTCTGTTAAACAGAAAATGGAGGGAAAAAATAAAAGGGGGGCTAATAATTCAGGGGTGCTAATAATTCTGACTTCAACTGTGTGTGTGTGTGTGTGTGTGTGTGTGTGTGTGTGTGTGTATATATATATATATATATATATATATATACATACACACACACACACACACACACACACACACACACACACCAGGACACCAGGTACTGTAATTCCTGACAGATTTTGGTCCATATTGACATTATCGCATCATGCAGTGCGGATGGGCTGCTGCTGTAGCCCATCCGCCTCAAGGTTATACATGTTGTGTGTTTAGATATGCTCTTCTGCATACCTCGGTTGTAACAAGTTATTATTTGAGTTACTGTTGCCTTTCTATCAGCTGGAACTAGTCTGGCCATTCTCCTCTGACCTCTGGCATCAGCAAGGTATTTGCACTCACAGAACTGCCGCTTACAGGATATTTTATTTTTTTCGGACGATTGTCTGTAAAGCCTTGAGATGGTTGTGAGTGAAAATCCCAGTAGATCAGCAGTTTCTGAAATACTCAGACCAGCCCATCTGGCACCAACAACCATGCCATGGTTAAAGTCACTTAAAATCACCTTTCTCCACCATTCTGATGCTCGGTTTGAACTGCAGCAGATTGTCCTGGCCATGTCTACATGCCTAAATGCATTGAATTGCTGCCAAGTGATTGGCTGATTAGAAATTTGCGATGACAAGTTGGACAGGTGTACCTAATAAAGTGGCCAGTGTGTGTGTGTGTGTGTGTGTGTGTGTGTGTACACATAAATAGATACTAAATATTTAAAGAGGAAAAAGGTCTGAATTAGAAATTAAGAGACTAAATTAACTTAACCCGAGCTCCTACTAATATTAAGAACTTTTGTCTGTAATTTGAAAATATTTCAAGAGTAAAAAATTATATAAATTAGAAACTAAGAATCAAAAAGTACCAAATAAAGACGCATCATACATGAAACTGTCTTTACTGTCAATGAAGTCACATAGCTGCTTGCTGATACAGTGGTGTGAATGTCGTGACAGTGTGATAAAGGTTTTCAAGTCCCTTTTTGCAAGGGACAATTTTATGATAACCTTGACCTGTACTATACGCCGCTTTTATCATCTCTCTTCCATTTTTGGCTTCTATCAGGTAAAAAGGCTCTTTTTTCATGAGCAGCAGTAGTGATGGAGTAGTGAAGTTAAGCTTAGGGAGTTGCTCAGAGGAAGATACCTACTAGGTCACAATTCATTTTCAATCCTCTTAAAAAGTGTCCTCAATAAAAAAATGCACCAAATATTGTGCATGCAATTTGCAAATTAAAGCAGCATTTTTAAAATATTATTTATTATTTTTTTGTGTGCAGATTATCAGTTTATAAAAACTTACTTGCTCATTACCTTAAAACACTATTACTGAAGTGCAGGATTCATAAACATGTACATTTTTCAGCATACTGCATGGTTGGCTTAGATCAGGGGTGCTTGACCCTGGAGATCTTCCATCCTGCAGATTTTAGTGGCAACCCATAGCCTGTAATTATCAAGTGCTGTTTAGGTCCTAATTAACGGTTTAATGTGTGTTTGATTAGGGTTAGAGCTGAACTCTGTAGAACGTTAGATCTCCTGGAGCGGGGTTGAGCAACCCTGGCTTTGATTGTAGTATTAGTTAGGTTTACTGATGGTGCATTATTTTTAAACATCATAAAACATTAACCATTTCATGCCATTCATCAGTCATTTGATTTCAGAAATGACATTATACATACATGAACTACCATAATAAATAATTGCCATAAAGTTTTTTTTTTCTTCACTTTTAATTAAATTACCACAAAAGTAAGGGAAAAGAGCACACATGTATTTATGGATTATCTTACATAACTACGGAGAACAGAACATTTAGAAAATTGGATTAACCCAGGCTAAAAATGTTGAACTGGAAAAAGGTTATTAGACTTTATCTCAGAATTCTGACTTTGTAACTCCCAACTGCAACTTTTTCTCAGAATTGTAAGTTTATATCTCTCTGCGAGTTTCTATCTTGCAATTCTGAGAAAAAAAAGGCAGAATATTTAGATAAAGTCGCAATAAACCTTTTTTTTTATTTGCATAAATGGGCTTTTCAATTAAAAATTGTGCTGACATTTAGAAATAAAACTAACAATTTTTAATTAGAATTATAAAAAGTTAAAGTATTTTGTAAAATTGAAAATAAAAAAAAAAATTATAAAAATGTGTTTTCATTGATGATGATTAAAAACTTAAAAGATTATTTCTAAAGGATCATGTGACACAGAAGGATGGAGAAATGTCTGCTGGAAATCCAGCTTTGAGTGACAAAAATAAATCACATTCTACAATATATTCTCATACACTGTAAAAACTGCCGGGCTTAGTTCCACACAATCGATTTATGTTGGGACAACATAAAGGAATTAAGTTAACTTAATAGTTTATTAATTTAAGTGGATTGAACATAAAACTAATTAAGCTAATTAAGTCCCCCCAAAAAAGTTTCAAGTTCAACTCATTTTAAATAAGTAGTTTTGAACAAACAGCAAACATAAATTTTTAAGTGTAGCAAATATCTATCTTACTATCCAATAGTATTACGACTATAACAGTAATCTATATTTTTATAATAGTACCGTTTTTATTGCATTTCTTCAGTTTGATCAGAAGAGACTTTAGCACGTACTATCCAAACTTTGACTGGCGTTTATGAAAAGTTTTGAAAAAAATAAATAGGCCAGTACGCTGAAAAAATTATTCTAAGACGATTCCTTTGATTTAATAATTTTTTTAAGCTAAGTGTTTGTAAACAATTTATTTGGGTTAAATTAAAACAAACAAATTAAGTTCAGCATTATTAAATTTATTTTGTTTGTTTAAATTCAATCCATATACACAATTGAGATTGAATAATTGATAAAAAAAAACACAATTACTTCATGTTGTTCCAACACAAATCGATTAAATTAACTTGATCGTTTTTACAAATTTAGGTGGATTAAACATAAAACAATTAAGTTGTCCAAAAAAACTCTGTAAGGATCGTGTTGTTTTATATAACTCATTACAACTCATTTTAAATAACTAGTTTGAACAAGCAGCAAAAGTTATTTTTTGAGTGTACATTGTTTGCAATGGTTTTGCAGAAAAAATATTTTCAGTGTAGATATTAGGCCAAAATAGGACAGTAGATATTAGTGGATATTAGAAGTGTCTCGTTGTTTTAAATAAACCTAAAATACATGTATATAACATCACTGTTTTCACAAAAAAACAGTAAATCAGTGGCCAACATGCATTAAAAAAAAAAAACCTTTTAGCTGAAAATTTATTTGGCGGCACAGTGGCAACCAGCAAGAAGGTTATTGGTTCGAGCATCGGCTGGGTAAGCTGACATTTCTGTGTGGAGTTTGCATGTTCTCCTTGTGTTTGGGTGGGTTTTGGAAGGGCATTCGCTGTGTAAAACATATGCTGGATAAGTTGGCAGTTCCTTCCGCTGTGGTGACCCCTGATAAATAAAGGGACTAAGCCGACAGAAATGAATGAAGAAGGATTTGTTTAAATGTGAAAATTCAACAATATAAAAGTGAAAGGAGAAAAAAATGGTTTCCGGGTGCTGTCTTTCAGTCTATTGAGTAAAATACATGAGAAAGACATAAGAGTTTGGTCGGGATGCATTATTTGGGCTGGTATCTAAGCAGCGCCTCCTGTTGTGCCGACCCTGATTGTATGCTGTATATAGAAGTGCTTCTGACAGGTGTACAAATTACCACCCCTCTTCTCAGCATGGAGAATGATCATTGTTTCCTGCTGAAATTCCCATAAGCTGATGTATCGAGCCTCTTGGAAATCATATATGAGAGTATTCATTAACCCATAATGTTTGTATGGAGAGTATCTGTGTGTTCATTGTCATAAAAAGCTCATTAAAACTGAACAGAGAATGAATGAATGATGATGATGATGGCTCTTTTTTTTCATCGAGCTGCTGTGTGCAAATGACCGTGCTGAAGTTACACAGCTGTGTGATCAGTTAAAATGTACAAATGGCAGTATCGCCCCTGAGAGCGTTTCTGTGCTGTAAACGTGTGATTTTGCCGTTCAGCTGTGTCGAGCTGAAGGTTTCAGAAGGTGATTTGTCACTCAAACACACTGAGTAGTTAAGAGCAGATTCTGACAGATTAGTTTCATGACATGGAAAGACAGAATAATGAATACATTTCAAGACTTCATTCATTTCTCTTTTACTGGTTACAGGTTCGGTTTCTTATTCTACGCAAGTAAAATTAAAACTGAATGAAAGTATGCACATACAGTAGTATCTTTAAAGAAGAATTGAAATACATGTGCATATCACTGTTTTAACCATAACATCTTAATATCCATGTGCTTTTTTCTATGGTTCCATTGAAAGACAGCTATTTAATGTTCAGACTTTACTTTATAAATTAATTTAGGGGTCATTAGATCCCATAAAAAACATACAGTGCTTCCTTGGGTGGGCCACCAAGGTATATTAACAGCAGGCAAAGTATAGTTAGTGACACTTTGTTTTTTTGTTTGTTTTTTTACTATTATTATCATACTTTTATACTTTTTTTCATATCCTCCCAGTATAAACAAACATTTATGAGTGATTAAGTAGTGAAAAATTCTTCTCCCTTTACCCGATTCATACTGCTGATTCTGTGTGCGCAAGAACACTCCCACAGACAGTCTCATGTGCTCTGCAGACTCACAGAGATGCACCTTTTTTTGATCGTGAGTTCTAAATGTACTAATATGTCCGGGATTTGGTTGCTTTACTTTTCTGAGCTGTTGTTAATTTTATGCGCACAGCCGTGAGAGCAAGAGAAACATTAAATAATTTAATCTTTAATCTAATCGAAAAAATTTTATTAAATGTTCGGAGAGGACAAAATTATGTCTAAAACGGCTGCAGAATATTTGTACACTATTAGAAATGGGTAATCAATTAATTTGTCTTCTTTAAATAATCTACACATTTTATTCTTGTCATAATTAGAGATATTGCCTGTTTTTATTTATCTTTTCATGTAATTTATTTCTCATTTGTTGTATATTTTATTAATTTAATGATGTCAATATATTTTATACATCTAAAATGCTTTGGCAATACTGAACAATTTGTCATGCCAATAAAGCAACCTAAACTTGAATG